TAATTGATTTTTTTTTATACGCAAGTGGTCTTTTAAGCTAACGGCCTTTCTCTGAAGTAGGTGAGAGTAATATGTATTAAATGTTTGGTGTCATCATTACTTAATCAATTTAATTTTTTTCTAAAAATATTCATAATGAATGCTTTACTTAACATTTTATTAATCGATACTTTGGGTAAGAGAAATCATAAAAACCATTATGTGCGAAAATTATGTAATGATTCATTCATTTATTCATTTTTTGTATCGTCATTTTTTAACTAGCCCAAGCTATTTCACTCAATATTTGTGTTTTCTGTAGGTAAAGACGCAATTTTGGTGTTTGCGACCTTTGTTTCCTGAGATATCGAAATATCTGAAATATATACTATTTTATACTAAGACTACTACTAGAGTTTAAACTAAAAATATTGAAATAAAAACGTTTTTGTTTTTTTAACCGACCTTAAAATACAAAAGGATATATGTTCGACAGCGATGTATTTTTTATGTATGTTTACCGATATTTCCACCAATTGTTGACCGATTTTCAAAGTTCTTTAATTATTCGCTCAATGGACCGAGGTGGTCCTAAACCTCGGTGCTGCGCTCAGGTATGCTAATTAGCATAGTTTTAAGGTGATATTTTTTGAATTCAAGTAACTTATCTATATTCGCAATTTTGGTGTTTGCGACCTTTGTTGAAGCTATCGAAATATTTGTAATAGTCTAGAGTTTAAACTAAAAATATTGAAATAATTTTTTTAAAATTTTTTAACCGACTTTAAAATACAAAAGGATATATGTTCGTCAGCGATGTATTTTTTTATGTATATATTTCCAGCAATTGTTGACCGATTTTCAAAATTCTTTAATTATTCGCTTAATGGACCGAGGTGATCCTAATTAGGACTACCTCGGTGCTGCGCTCAGGTTTGCTATTTAGCATAGTTTTAAGGTGATATTTTTTGAATTCAATTAACCTATCTACCCTTTTTATTAGAAAATCATTGCATAGTATGTACTTATAGAAGCAATATCGGTTTAACCAATTAGGCATCCCAAGTAGCACAAAACACCATTATATCAAACTTATGATAGCACGAGTCCAAGCCTTAAGCATTATAATAAAATCGTATATCAACCGTATTTCTTTTAAACGACTCTTATACATAAAATTTGGGCCCCTCCTTTGTACGACTTTAAGCTTTATAAAAGCTGTGCAATAGCACTACAACTTTTGTATAATAGCATTAATAAAGTCGGGTAAAAGCATTCTAATAGCCACAAAAAGTTCAATTAGCACCTTAAAGTGCTAATTGAATTTTTTGTGACTATATTACAATTGATATGCGTAAATCAAAATTATAATACGTTAATTTAATATTATAAAAATGCTTACTGTTTTATTTCCTTTGTAAAAAAGTATATTTAATAGATTTTAAAAACATATAATCGGTTTAAATTATTGTTTTGTGTAAGTGTCATGTTCTCTTGGCTGGTCTTTTAAGTATTTTTGAATATTGATTTAAACAGCTCGTTTTGTGTGAAATAAGCTGCACACATCAGTTTGTGGAGTAAAATATACAAGTTTATGGTGTAAAATACACGCGCCTTCGCAAACTTCCTTTAATATAATAAAAAATTTAACCTAGTAGCAAAAATTTTTGTTGAATTTTAGGCTTTTTAGCATTGTTTTAACAACACAATTGCTTTTATAGGCATCTGTGCACAAAATAAATTATTATTTACCCCTTTTCATCTGACACAGTTGACTTTAAATATTTTGTAAGAATTGGAAAAAGAAAGCAAATGGCGACTCGTAAAATTAAAGCATTAGGTATTCAAATATGGTGTAGTAGAGCTGTTAATAGTATTATGGTTAGACACAAAACTAAGAGCTTGTAATTCACCGTATAACACACTCCCATTTTAGTTACAGCCGTATTTTTACACTTCAGAAGTATCTTATAGTGCTTATAATCATCAAACGATTATTTCATTTTTATTTTGATTTTTAAAAGCTCAATTAAATTAGAATACTCTTTTTTCAGTTTTCATTTATATCCACCTGTTTTCTTTGTTTTTCCCAACGTTTTTTGTCCATGGCGCCAGCGATGCATATAAAATGCCACCATTACAATACAATACATAAAATAATTTTACATTTTAATTTCACATAAAAAATTATTACGATCTATTTATTACTTCTATCTCTATAAATAACTTAATATTGATCAAAATATAGCTTAATGTTTTATAAAAGCATAGATTAAGAAGATAAAGGAGCTTGAGCTTGATTAAAGAATACTTTAAGAACAAATCGGTGCTAAAGTTTTACTAGTTCTTTATTCAATGTGTATATAGGATAAGCATTAAATCGATACAACCATAGACCATTAGAAAACCTTTGTTTCTAGAAAATGACTAAATACAACTAAGTGCACTAAATAGTATTACGTTAATGCTTATATAATATATAATGTTTTTCATATCACCGAAATACGATAACAGCTTTATATTAATATTACCCAATACTTAAATAGGAGTTTTGACATTGGTATACTTTTTTTATTAACCATAATATGGCATTAAGCATTATTAGATAAAATAAATGCCTTTAAACAGATTCGAAACTTGACCAGAGCTGATTAAAAATGTTAGTATGACTTTAGGACATAAATCGGTACTTATTTTAGTTAATATATTATTTATGTGCTACTTGGGATAATAATATGAATTTGGACTAATACTATTAATAGCACTGATAGCGCCTACAATCCTACGTTTTTGTTCTACAGTTTATACATTTAATGGCCTTGTTCACGTATACATTCAGTAGGTTAATAGTATTCATGAATGCATTGTAAGTTAATAAACTCTGAGAATTTTAAATACATGATGTATACATGGAAATGCAGGTATGTTTATGTCGAGCTGTTTTATTTTCGGTATAGTTTCAGTGTTTACCAATTACACTATGTGATTGAACAGTGTAATAGTAATCAATAATTATTCAATCCTAAATTAAGTCAGAACTTGCATTAGCGACTGAGTCACGAGTGATCTATAAATATGTATCCGTGACTCACAATATAAATGGTCATGTTTGCAAAAGATTTCCTCGTATGGGATAGATCTCGAAGGTTTTGCCCACGTTTCTTATCATTAATTAATAAAAATTGGCCATTGTTTTAAGTTTTAGTCCTAAGCAATTAGTTTATAAATATTTTTAGCTAGTTATATTTGACTAGATATACTATTAGGTATGAAAAATGCACTTTTTTAAACTACGTTGTATAGCAATATTTAAAAAAGTCAGCCTTAAGGTCAGTTGCACAAACGTCTAATAAGGTTTAATGACGCCTTTAAGCTCTAATGAATGTCTAATTTGTATGGATAATGCCGCTTTAAACTATGAACAAGAATTTATATATAAAAAATTATGAAAAATTTTTAAAAAAATACGCTATATTTTGTAAAGAAAGAAACTTGTCATTGTTCGTTTATATTTCTTATTTTTACTGACTCAATAAGGTATTCTGAAAAAATACTTCTACTGTTCATTTAAAAAAATAAATACGTTTTCTTGCCTTAAAAATTATATCAAAATTTTAACTTTTTATACCCGCGAAAACGCTGTCCGTCATATTTATGACGTCACTGTGATATGTGTACAAAACAGTAGCATAGAGTAGAAGATTATCGGTATAGATTTGTCAGTACTGACGTTCCGCAACCGAGACAAGACGCCGAGCGTCCTCCGCTAGATATGCACGTACCCTAAATCCGCGTCCATTTCATGCTTGAAAAATATTTACGCAGTCTCAGCCTAAAAGTTTTTTAAAACCTAAAGATTATAAACTAAATATCGGAGAACTTCGAAACAGCTGCGCAGCTGGTTCTTGTCATTTGTTAATGGTTATCTTGCTTTGGCAGTATCTTAGCTCCGAAACTTATTTGGCATATCGGATTTGGCACAACCTCCTTTTGAATAATCATAAGGTATAAATTTTTTTTAGATGTACCAGAATCTGATGACACAATAACAGCATAAAGGGAGGACATTTTTGTTTATTTACGGGGCTCATGCATCCATACCTGAAGTAATAATTCTTTTTGTTTCCATCGCGTTTAAGATGATAAAATTTTATTGAAATTCGGTTTTTTGGTGTATTTGGAGCCAGTTAAAAGCTGCATGGACACAGAAGCCGATAAAAAGCACTAACCATGCCGGATATTCCTTTAACATATCTCGATAACTCACCACCTTATTGCAAATTTATTGTAATGCAAAAAAAAAAGATCATTTCTGAAAATGTAGTCATTATAAACAATTCATAGAATTAACTGAGTTTGATGTTGTTTTCCGCTAGAAATAACAATTTACTTAAACATTATAATAAAAAGCTTTATTTATTATAGATAATACGTAAACTATTTCGACCATGCAGTAGAACGAATTTAGGTTACCATTATCGGAGATTTATTTCAACCGTTTTTACCGTTAACATCTGTTGTATGTTTTTCATGATTTGGTTTATCAAAAAAAAAAAGCCTAACGCATCAGAAAATGTACCTATTGATATTACTCTCTATGTTGTTTCTCTCTCTCGATAGTACAAATATATTTATCTTGTGTCGTAATGACATTGAATATAATGTATACTGATAGTTATTAATAAATAATGCCATATATTAACATTAAGTATAATGGTGGAGTCATGGTAGGGTCGACTATTTGTTATTTTCTAATTTCACGAAATCGAAAACCTTTGTTATAGGAAATAACTGTCAAAATTATCGGATAAATGTGGAATCAATATAAGTCCTTTTTAATTTTCTTATGCAATATAAATAATTATGATAAACAATTAAAATTTAAAGTTTTAGGTGAAATATGCGTTATCCATTATTGTTTTGACCAATACCTATACAAGTTTAGCGAATGTTATGTAAAAAAGTACTTTGTGCACATGTAATGTAGGTGCATATTAAAAATCTCTTGAAATCTATTGCAGACACTTGCCATCCAGAAGGCGATCAACTCTGTAGAGACACCGGTGAAAGAAAAACATGTCAGAAGCACAATCATCGGCACTTTTCAGGAGCAGAGCGCCATCACATACTGGGTATGAGAAATCTTCTGTCTCACGTACATACATGAGATTTACATACAGTTGCACAAAAGTCTATTAAAGTCGTCGTTAGTGTAATGGGACATTAGGTCAGTTGCACAAACGTTTGTGCACCTGATCGTAAGTAATTTTCATGGTATTACTCTGGAAATGATGAAGTATTATGACGCATTCGCACGCTTACCACACTTAAACAAGCCAATATAAATTTGATAGAATAGTTAATATTTGAAATGGTTTGTGAAGGCTTGCAAGCGCTTGTAGCTGATACAATCGATGTTGGGTTTTATCACAAATCAGTAGGAATTCGCTGCAAGCTTTTCTGTCGTGTTCACACCTTAGCGGAGCCTTGTAGAGATTTGGAGTTTGTGGCAAATGGCAAGCGTGCTGATTGCGGCATTACTGAATGCTTCATGGTTCATAATTTGGTAATCGAGGGTATATATATAAAACTCGCCTTGGTCAGCCTATTAAAGTTAATATAAGGCAGAGATCTTCTTTAGGAAAACATGGAAGAACTAGCCAAAAACACGCTAGTGTAGTGGGTGTTGACGTTTACAGTTGTAACAAAGACTCGTCCAAAGTACAGAGGATCTTAATAAGAAATGTTTGGTTCTTAATACTAAGTTCGACATTAACAAGAACTACTTAAGCTCCTCAGCCACAGATCTAACGCGCTAATTACCGCATGCCTTCGAGTTCTTTTGAATCCGTTATATGAACAATTATAAATAATAAATAACTTATTCCTGTCCTTGAATAGAACATAGAAAAATCTAAATTTATAGCCATAAAATCTTAATGCTACTTATTGCCCGTGATCAGATGGTGGCGGTTCGCCTGCCGCTCCAAGACAACCGCATTGTGGCTTGGAAGTTTTGTCACGTGACACACAAGTTGCTACGCGAGGGTCATCCGGCTTGTTTGGACGACTCTCAGCGGCACATCAACATGATCGAGAATTTGGGCAAGCTTTGGGTGAGTAAGCATGGAAAAAATTGTCCACGTGATTGAATAGTTTTTTGTTCTATAGTGGGGTCCGCTTTTGAAAATATTTGAATAGGTAATTAGAGTAATGAAGACCTTTACAATAATGAATCTATATATACTTATAAAATTCTTGCGTTACTGAGTGACTGACTGGCTGACAGACAACGTACAGCCGAAAATACTAGGCGTAGAAAGTTGAAATTTGGATTCCTTAGGGAGTGTAGAGGAGCACTAAGAAGGGGTTTTTTTTAAATCTACCCCGAAGGGACTAAATTAGGGGATGAAAGTTTGTATGAACCTTCGTTACTACAAGTGCTAGGAGTTTCAAATTTTGCGTGCGGTTTTTTTTTTAGGTGCTGGTGTTCAATAAGACGGGATTTTATGAAATTCGACTCCTAAGGGGGTAAATTAGGGGACGGAAGTTTTAATGGAATTTTCTTATTTCTGGACTTAAAACTAGATCACGCGGGCGAGTGGCGGAGGGTTAGCATTTGTTTATAAGTTTCTACAGCGCGGTGGCATAAAACTTTAAGAAATCTAAAAATATATGAATTACCAAAGGAACTATTCTAAAAATAAGGGAGTGCCCCCAAAAAAGGTCTATTATTTTTATAAGCTCGAGTTTAAAACCCACTAAAAAATATTTTAATTGTAGTTCTGCGGTTGATAGAGCAACACGTATAGGACTGAAAATAAAATGTATTTTAATGGTTTTTTTTCGGGCAAAGGTTAAATTATTTTAAATATTTGTCAACCAGGTGCACCTTCGCGAGGGTTATGGTAAGCTGGTGCATCTCTACTGTAACTTGTTGGTGTGCAAACTGAAGTTCCACGCGCGCAATCCTCGCTTCCCCGGCAATATGCAGCTGACCGCCGATGAACTTGACGCCATCGCCGAAAATGACGTCAACAATTAGTACGTATATTAAACAATATGTCATCATCAGCTTATCAATGGTCTCCACTGCGGGGGGTACAGACCGTGGTCGGAGTATTGGCGAAGACTCGCCACGCGGGCCCATTGCGAATTAGTGGGTGTTAACGAGAGCAGATACAGCTGGCATCAACGCCTAAACGTGCCTTTCGAAACACGGAGGAACTCAAGATAGTAAATTTTTCTGTGACCTAGTCCTGGCGAAAATCTCTTAACTGTCGCATTGCAGTACCGCTAACAACTTCGCCATCGAGCTAAATAATTTCTTGCTTTCCATATATGAAAATTGAAAATATATTGACTTTCTTGCAAATTAAACTATATTAGATTCTGTTTTCTTTTTTCATTCACAGTTTTCAACTTTGTGTGGAGCTCTTCGACTATATGGACGATATTCTGAATTTGCAAGCTGCAGGTAACGTTATAAATTGTACTGTAAAAAGTAACTTTAACACTGACGTGTACCAAAAACAGGGTATACTGTACCATCTTTTCCTCGAAGCCATTCGGGCTATTTTTGACCCCCTATAACTTCATTATATAGTAAAATTAAGCTTAAAATTTAAGTGACAAATAGCACATTTCTTAATAAAATAAAATTAGAACAAGTACTTTCTGTGGGAGCAGCACTTGTCAAAGGTACTTACGGAAATAGATTCTTACATAAAAAATATCTATCTAAGGTTAATTGATTTAAAAGTAGGTGAGTACATATATTATGATCTTGTGTGCGTTTATTATCCCTAAATTAAGGTCAAGGATAGCTGCTCCCACAAGAAGACAGGTTCTGATTTAATCGACTTGGTGGTTTACGTTGTTGTGAGACTTGTGCAATTTTGTTATGTTTTGGAAAGGTTATTTTTTATAATCACTGTTATTAATGCTTTAGTGAGATATTTATAAGCTCTTGGACCAGATAATATAATCTGTTGTTTCTCCATTTTCGGATAATTACGTTGGAATAAATCGATATTTATGATAGGATCGGCCACAACCGTTTTTCGTGTGTTACCGTGGAGTGCTTTGAAATTCGTTTTGGCAGAAATTATGTTTTGTTTGCCAGTGTTCGACAGTTTGGGCAATGCTCGGGCCAACTCGATGACTGCAAGTGGTCAGTGCCGTTTGGCGGCGTTGATACCTTGCGCCCAGGACTCTTCACAGATATATGACTGCAACGTGCGACTGCTGTTCCGACTGCACGCATCACTACCTCCAGACACGCTAACAGGACACAGGGAGAGGTAACTGTCTATAAGCATAAGACATCTTAGTGTTTCATGTACTTTCGGATCTTTTACGAACCCTCTACGTCACGAAAGAAAATACAAACGCGCTGAAACTGTTTAAAGTTATTTATTTTAATGGACAGTGCGCGTGAAAATATAAAAAATTACCCTTTTAACTTCTCTTAGCTTTTAACTTCTTATTTTTTGTATTGCATATCCAATTGGGTATGCTGTAGTGATTAAATAATGTAATAACAACTGTAAATTGTACATGTACACAGTATGTCAATAAAATATATTCTATTCTAATTCTTCAGCATGTTAATGTCTTGGGGCTCAAACCTTTCCTATGAATAGGAACGCAAGGAGAACGGACTCAGTGCGGGTTTGTGGGTGCTAACGTCTGCAAAAAAAAACGTCTGCAAAAAAAAGGGCTGATGATGATGATACTGATGACGACTATTGTTATTTCTTTATAGGTTCCGACAACAGTTCAAAAAGTTGAGTTCCTTCTATAAACACGCTAGCAGTTTACAGTATTACAGAAATCTTCTAACTTTGCCCGTGTTGCCATCTAATCCACCGAATTTCCTGTTGCAGGTAAAGTATTACATGTTCATATATATTATGGAAGAAACATATTTTTTCTTTGCTTTGATTAATGGAATTTTATTTTACAGAGTGATTTCGGAACTTACGTAACGCCTGTAGTTTCTATACCAGATCCTCAGCCAGACGAGGTAGACTCCGTTGGAGCTCTTATCGATACATCGGACACTATCAGTCAGGTATACTTACTACATTTATATTCTGTTAATTCATAAATTTATTTTATGCGTGCATAAATACAATATAATAAATAGGATTTTAAGAGGGACAGTTACAGATATCACTTTGTGGCCATATATACCAATACTTCCAGATATATTCTGTCCAGAATATAGTAAATCATCATGGTCCTTCCAATATTTCAACATCTCAGTTTGCATGAGTTCTAATTATCTTCAATATCATATGAAGGCCCAACCACAAATTACATAGATTCATATAAAGAGTTCGAAACAAAAAGATTCAGTGAGTGTTAACGGCTGCAGTTAAAAAAGATTAACATATTTCCGAGGCATGGGGAATCAATAAATTATGTGTTTGTGAAAGTAGCTTTTGCAAATGCGGGTCACTACACTAAACTATTAAGTTCTGTTGCACAATGCAAGCCAAATATGAATAGTACTGTTAAACGGCCATCTTGGTTCGCATTGCTTTTCAACTTCAGGATATAAGGCGCTAAATCAACGCGTTGATAACGATTAAGTTATGCTGACATTCTTAATTGAACCGGAAATTATAAAATAGCGTCGCGTTTAGGGTGGCCAGCGTTAGCATAACAGCGTTAACTTCCTATTTAGTAGTAAAGATAAGATCAAGAGATCGATTTGGAAAATATATTTTTTAAATTTTTTGATAAAGTTACGTCAATACCAATAATATAATAGATGTTAAACAAATTCAAAAAATATTAAGTGAACTTCATTTTCTTTGCTGTCCGTACGGAATGACAGCTAAGCCGTGAAGTTTTAGCTAACCCGTCTATTCTTATTTGGCTCGCATAGGATTTAATAGGAATGATACCTGGGTAAAAAAATAAATTTGAATTGGTCTGTCAATCAGATAATAGAAAAATATTAAAAGCGTAGAATTCACTACTATACATAGCCACTAAAAATATAGATATACAAGAAGCATTTAAAACCACTTTCCAAATTTTAGTATGTTAATCTTTACGACAAATAATGAAATACGTGTTTTTTCTTTTTATGTCGTTTAGAACAAAAATGTTGAGTTATATCGTCACCAAGTTATTTTCAAAAAACATACATTTGTGGACGCTCCCGCTGCCCAGGGGCTCTATTTTTGAATCATTCGTCTCGCGTCGAGCGCTCGTTTTCTACTGATTTTCGTTCGACTTAACAAATTCGCCATTTCTAAATCGCTCGACTGCAACGAGTGGTATGAACCACTCGTCGATTAGTGAACACTGTATACGAGTGATAGTAGAAAACGAGCGCTCGACGCGAGACGAATGATTCAAAAATAGAGCCCCAGTACGTGCGCTTAACGCGCTACGTTAGTTCCCCCCCCCCCCCCTCCCTTCCCGCAATTCATTGATAGTAATACAAGTACGTTTGCGAGTTAGTAGCAGCTACCTAAAATGTTTTCGTTTTTTCATGCTAGGGCAAATGGTACATAAAGTTGAAACCTTTCCTTCATACTTTTACGGGCTTAGGACCGTCAAATTGCAAAAATTCTATTAGATACCTACTATTACAATAACTATACTGCTTTAAATTTATAAATAAGTAGGTAAGCAAATATCAAGTTACCTAAAATTCTGTTTAGTTAAACCAATAATAAAAAAAGTAGGTACTTAACTAGATATTCTTTGCAATCAGGCGTATTTAAAAAATCATCAACTTTATGTACGTAATCAACTAATCACTTTATCCTACCTAATTTAACTATTTAGCTACGTATACTTTAATAATTGTTCAAAGTGCATACCGTTCCTCTCCACACAGAGTCTTGCACGTTTTTGCACATTGTCTTTTAATTTGGCGAGCACTACAGTGTCATTTTTCACGTGGTCAAATGCCGCACTAATTTGCACTTTTAAGTCCTCGAGGCTTTGTGCTTCTTCAAAATACACACGTCTTTTGATTTCACCCCACAAATAAAAGTCGCACGGTGTTAGGTCCGGCGATCGAGCAGGCCACACGATGGGGCCTCCGCGTCCAATCCATCGATCACCATATTCTATGGTGAGATGATCTCGGACGGCGGCGGCGTAATGGGGTGGTGCACCGTCCAGTTGAAAATAAAAATCCCGGAAGTAGGCCACGGGCAAGTCCTCCATGAAATCGGCAATGACATGCCGCAACATATCGAGGAAGTTGCCGTCGGTGAGCGGCCCTTCGATGAAGTACGGCCCCAGTATTTTCGTGCCTATAACACCGGCCCACACATTGACACTAAAGCGCACTTGATGGTGGGTTTCCCGAATCATATGCGGATTTCTGATGGACCACCAGTGTTCGTTATGATGGTTATAAAGCCCCACACGAGTAAACAATGCTTCGTCAGTCCACAAAATGTTGGCATTAGGGTGTGCAATCAGCCATTTACAAAAGGTGCGACGGGGCACATTATCTCCATCGTGTAGAGCTTGGACCTTTTGGAAGTGGTAAGGGTGTAGCCCTGTCACATTCAGCAGCTTCCACACGGCATAGTGGCTTACGTTAAATCGGCGTGCGGCATCTCGTGTACTGGCTCGCGGGTCCCTTTCGAAGAAATCCAAGATTTCATCTTCGATTTCAACTGCAAGTCTTGATCTTCCACCTCCGCGAGCGTGAGCAGGCGTAGTAAATTGACCATAGTCCAATAGCCTTTGGTTCACAGCCAAAAATGTCTCGCGACTAGGTACTGCGGGGTTTATTAATCCCTGATTTTGCAGGGCTGGGATGGATTCTGTTTCGTATAGTCTCCGAGCTGCATTTAAACTTTCACCGCTTAAAATGTAACACCGCACCATTTCGTAATATTCGCGATTGGAATACATTCCGACGCGCGAAGTGTGGGGCTGCGGCGGGTGGCGCGCAACACGGAAGCAAAGGCGGAAGCGCGTGCGTTCAAAGGGATTGTGCGCGGGTGACTGATGTTGCCGACTAAATAAAAAACCGAGCAGATATCGTCGGCGGTGCATGCGCGGCGCATCCCCTGCGCCCGCGCCCCTTGCTACCCCTGCTCGTTTCGTTCATAACTAATGTGACAATGCGAATATTATAATTATCTTGTAATTACAAAAAGTTTACACTTCATTTTGAAAATTTTACATACTGTTTTTTTTTCATATATGTGATCTATTAACGATACCTAATGCCTAGAAAAAATTTGGAGAGTCATTTTAAATGCATCTTGTATACATACTACTAAAGCGCTTCCAATATATATTTTCTAAACTTATTTTTGCTTGCCGTCGCTAAGTCGATTGCATTGAATTTATTGTTGTAAGTATTAAGCATTCGATTAAACGGTGGTCTTTTTCCTGCATTGATACGACATCGAGCGACAGAAAACAATTTACAGATGCTACGGCAGTGAGTTCTTGTTGGAATTTTATATATTAATTTATTTGTTAACGTTTTTTAACAAATAAATTAATTTTATATATTAATATAATAGCGGTTTCAGAATATGTCATATAGTAACATAGCTTCCAGAAATAAACTTCTATGTTCCAAACTTATACAACTATATTTGAGTAGGAGCTGTTGATACTATAACCTGCCACCAAAATACTTATAATGTATAATTTCCTCTGAACATTCTTTAAAATATTAATATAATAAATATATTAATTTTTGTAAATAGGTGACTACTCCCGATCATTTGGAAGCGTTCGAGTCACGTGGTACTCCGTCGCCGCAGCCCGATCCAGTAGTGGAACGTGACCGTCTCATAGATCATCTACAGAACGAGTTGCGTAGGATGAGGTTAGTATTGTGACGGGTGCGGTGCTTAGATAGATAGATAGATAGAATATTCTTTGTTGTACACACAAAACAAGATACAGGAGATGGACAACTGGCGGCCTTATCATTAAAAGTGATATCTTCCAGGCAATCTTCGGATGGAGTTAAATATAAAAGAAGCGGGAAACCTAGGAAAAAATAAACGCACTGTTACAGTATGACCCGGTGGGTACTCGCAGCGGGTTTTACCAGGTAGACCGGCCTCGTTTAAGCCTGCCTTTTTTAGGACGGATGTGGGTCGGAGAAACCTGATTTAAGTAAGGCTTAAGGTTGCGTTTCCCCTGCGTTAAAATAAATGATCCGGTTAGTTTGTTTACAGACATGTACGCTATTTTTAGTGTAAAAACTACATTGATAAATATTCGCTGCATTAAATGTTCTGTTTGATACTGGTTGACTGGTAGAAAAAGACTCTTTGGCACCAAGTCCGCTATTTGGCTACTTTTAATTAGACAATAAATAAAATAGGCATTGTTAAGATCACAAATTAAGTATCATTATGGAAATCTAAAACATCACACAGACCTAAGGAATAAGGACCATGTGACCATAACAAAAAGCTATATAAATGCCATCTACAACGTTACGGGTCCAGCTTAGGCACAATTCTTTTTTATATAAAAATATACTTAATATCAATTACGAAATAGTAGGAATAAATATTTTTTGGCAATTGTCGTTGCAAAATCTGAGTCACACATCAAAATTAGTTTCAAAATGTTACTCAATCGGTGTGCCGGTGCACCCACCCTTCTCCAATTTCAAGAAAAAAATTGTATAGGTATATACAAAAAAACAAAATTTAATCCTTATTTATATTTAACAAAAAAAATACTGTCGTATAATTTATGATATGATTATATGCTTTTTTGATAAATCAGGTTATTATGTTTTTGCTAAAGCAGTCCTATTATCGTCTGTTTTGGAACTTTATTCTGTAATAAATAGTTGTTTGTCGTTTACTATCCAACCAGGGCAGAAGTAACCACAAGGGTTGAAGAACGAAATAACATAATGGGAGCAATGAGGGAACTCTCTACTAGTTTAGAATCACAGTTGCTTGCCGTCAAGGTAGGTTTGATTATTATTAGAAATTTATAGAACTACTGGACTTATTTTAAAAATTCTTACACCTACGGGACGGGACTTTCAACTACATCATATGCGGTGAAAATAAGGTATATTTTATCCCGACAAAGAGCTAGTAAAGGGATGAAAATAAGAATGGACGTTTGTATGTGGAATTAAAACGTTACCATAGTTATAACTTTTTAATTTGTAATTGTAATTTTATCTGTGTTATGACATGAATCGGTATCCAAATAAACAGTTCCTTAGATACCACCCAGGCAAAGCCGCTGGCGGAAAGCTAGTTAAAAATATAAGAGCATTACTTTTTTATCATTTTATTATTAAAGGCCGCTATAGACATGTACACGTCCATTAAAAACAAAAGACCATTAATTGATAATAGCAATGTTAATTTGAAATTTTCGCAACTTAGTAGATGGATTTTTATGTAAATACTAGTGTCCGCCAGCGACTGCGTCCGCGTTTTCCATTATTTCTTCGCTCCTAATAGTTGCAGCGTGATGTTATATAGCCTAAAGCCTTCCTCGATAAATGGTCTATTCAATATAAAAAGAATTTTTCAATTCGAACCAGTAGTTCCTGAGATTAGCGCGTTCAAACAAACAAACAAACTATAGATTTATTTAATTACAGACTGAACTACAACAGGAGAAGAAAAAGTGTGAAATGTTGTCTGCGCAAACACCAGAGATAAAACGTATGTATCGATTTAGAAACTCAAATAATTATAGTTACTAGGTTCCCATACATTTCTAAAAATGACGTTTTTTTTTTTTATAAACAGAGAAGTTGACTCAAACCGAAGAGAAAGCCAAAATAACAGATGAAAAGTTCCAGAAACTAAAAGGGGCGTATACACAGTTAAGAGAAGAACACATTAATCTAATAAGACAGGTATCAACATATCATATTGTGTTATACTACTGTATCACTCTGAGTATAGTATAATCAACTAAGCTGTGTGTCCGGTGATATGTGTGGGTTGTACCTTGTACATATACAGTGACTTTATGTGCGTGAAACGAGGTACAGCTAAATACAAATACAGTGATTTCAACAAAATTAAAAAGAATAACTGTGACGAGCTGTAACTATTGTAAATTAATATATATTTTTTTAAACATTGTTATGGTAATCTGCTATGATTGTTAATATGGATTCTGAAAAATAAGTTAATTTAGTTAATACATGTTTGTTGAAATTAATGCTCAGAATATCTACTAGAAAAATCAAACCATGAATTTTCGGATTAGCTCCTCCCAACCAAGATTAATTACGAAATTTAATTCCATGTAAAAAAAAAATCTCGATGAAGAACAAACAAGACATTTTCGATAACGACTGTACCCAGACAAAGAAGCAGCATAACGCCAAAAATATTGAAAATATTGAATTATTTCAAAAAGTTACATTTAGGTGATGATGTATAATTATTGGCTGTTTGTTTTTCCTAGAAAGCCGAGGTGGACAAATTGACTGCTAATTTGCGTGCTGCAGCAACTCAACATGAAAGTGCAAAATTGGCTCTGCAGCAAATGCTGAATGACAGGACGAAGTAAGTTTACGATCCAGATTAGTTAGTTTGTCCCACAAACAGTATGCGCTAGGACCTTGTCTAAAATGTTGTCTTACCTTGTCTAATTGTTGTTAATAGAAAGTAAAGATAAAATGCAATAAATAAATTGATATACCAATTTATTTAAATGTTTATGAAAACCCTCAAAATAGGGTTGTTTTTTTTGCAATGTTATTATGTAATGAGCGACATATTTACTTAATATGGGAATCATAAAAGCATTTGCTATTTAAGAAAACTGCAATAGTGCATGATGACAACACAACCCAACTCAATACGTGTATCAGCCAGTATTTATTTAAAGGTACTGAGTGTTGAAAACAACTGTTAATAGATTACGACAGTAAAATGGCAACATTTTTATTTTAATTCTGCAGTTTATTGATCTCTTCTTTTCAGAGATGTAGAATTACTGCAACAGAGTGCATCTTCTAGTGAAGAAGTAGAAGCATATAAAAACGAAATAGCCAGCTTACGAGTAGAATTAGAAAACTCTAGACAAAAAGATACTGAATTAGAAACTTTACGAGCATCTTTGGAAGCTTTAGAAATAGAACACAAAACAGCCAATACTGAACAAGAAGAAAAATTAAATACAATAGCAAGTGAATTAAAAGAGACAAAAGAAATATTAGAGCAAATTAAACAAGAAAAATTAGAGAGAGAAACGGAATTGAGTAAAGTGAAAGAAGAGTTGATAGGTCTTCGAGAAAAGAGTGGAGATGAGTATAATAAAGTAGTGGCAGAAAAAGAATTAGCTTTGAAGCAGGTCGCAGAATTAACACAACAGCATCAACAAGAGAAAGAGGTCAGTGATATAAATAAGTATAACTTTATTAGGTACTTTTAGATATTTGTAAATATTGTAAAAAACATATAATACTAACAATATCGTTTGGCATGTGTCGTATTTGTAGCTGAAATGAATATGCATGATATTCTCGTACCATTAATTTTCTGTATGTTTTTTTTTTCTAATAGCATATATTTTCATTTATATATTTTAACCCTATTAGGAGCAAATGCTTTGCACTAACAAATTACGGTCAGAATTAGAAACATTACAACGTAGGTTTATCGACACAGAAACTGATTTTTCCCACCGTTCTGACGTTATAAGGGAAAATATGGCTTTGAAAAGTAAAGAACTTGAAAATATTATAAATGCAAAAGATGTTCAAATAGAAGAAACATTAGGTAAACTGGCAGCTTTACAAACTGAAATAGAAACATCAAAAGCAGATTACGAAGAGAAGCTACGTCAACAAGATAGTGAAATTAAAAATCTGTGTGAAAAAATTGATGAACTAAATCAATGTAACCTAAATAATGAAAGTACGTCACATAAACTGATTAAAGAAAGAGACGATAAACTAAGTGAGTTAAAAGACGCTTTAAAAAAAATTGAAATCCTTGAAGTTGATTTAAGAGAAAAAAGTTATGCTGCTGATAAATACGAAACTTTGCTTTCTGAAAGTCAGGTCTCTAATAAGAAATGTCTTGAAGAATTAGAAACGAAATTGAATGAAGAAATATCGGAATTAAAACATAAATTAGTTATAGAAGAAGAAGAGAAAACAATACTTAAAAATAATTTCAGTGAACAGAATAAGAAAATTGAAGAACTTCTTTCTAATTCTAGTAATGCTATATCTGAACTGGAAAATAAAAAAATTGAATATGACGAAAATGTTAAGGAAAAAATTATGGAAATAACTATTTTAAATGAAAAGTTAAAAAATGTAGTTGAATGTAAAGATGAAATAATAGAAAACTTAAAAAGCATAGTATCTGAAAAAGATAACCAGGTTATTGCACTTAATGTGGAGGTTACGAAACTATCAGAAAATAAAAGGAATTTAGAAGACGAACTAAAAGAATCACAAGCGGAATTGGAAATAGGTAGAAATGAGTTTTTAACTTTAAAAGAAGATTATGACATAGTTGTCCAACAAAATAATACTAACATAGCTTTGAAAAATCAAGAGATTGAGACACTTAACGAGAAATTATCTAAAATGTGTCGTGATGTTGATGAGTTGACATCAGAAAGAGATAAAATCGCAAATAATTTTAGCGTAGAAAAGCAGGTTGGTCAATGTTTCTGTTTTGTGTCGTCCTTTTAATGTTAAATTATTATTTAATTACCATAATATATTTTTAATAGGTGATAGAAGGAAATATTAAAGAAAAAGATGAACTAATTGCAAAGCTCCGAAGCGAACTCGAAACATTAGTGAATGAATCGGAGGAATTGAAAAATAATTCCAACGTCACTATTGACAACTTGAAATCCGAGTACGAAATTTTAAAAATTGAAAAAGAAGACGTAACAAAGTTATTGTCTGACAAGCTAGAAATGCAAAATATAACATTTAACAATCAAATAAGTGAAAAAGATGAGAACATAGCGAACGCGCACCAAGAGATTGAAAATCTGAAAGCTGCATTAGATGATTTGCAGAAATTGAATTTAAAAGTGAATGAAGAAATGAAAATAGTCATATCAGAGAAAGATAAAGAAAAGCAGGTTAGGCTACAGTAATATACAACGATAGCTTCGAGTGTGCGTCCATGGTTTACCATTTAACATCTAATGTGGTGATGGTGTCATTCATTGATCATACCATTGATAATGTTAAGTGACTTCTTTGAATTTATTTTGATTCTGTGTTAGTAATTTCTCAATTCCTCTGTAACTATCTTATTCGGGATTTATAACATATTGGTTGTTATATCTATAAGCCTCTTCAGGATAAAGAGTAGACGTAGGGTTGTTGAACTTTGAAATATTGCTTTTTTATTTTCTTTGAATGTTATTCTAATAGCATGTTTTATTTTTCCTTCTCTTCCTACGTCTGCGGCTTGACTCTACGCCTTTGAAACTACAACTCTACGATATATCTGCCTGCATGTTCTGCTGGATTTCTGTTGGACTGTAACGGATCTGACCTTTTGTTAAGTATACGTTGTTTTCTTGATACTTTCTTAATTATGCGTGTAAATTTAGACGTTAGAAGCTAAATTAAATATCGCCGACAATAGGCGTCTGAATGCCGAATCTGAATTGCAGGACTTGTTACAACAAAATTCAGTACTAGAAGCAGATCTAGCAACGCTCAAGATACAACTGGAGGAGGCCAAGAAGGAAATTGAGAAACGTAAGTAAAATCTCTAGTAATCTGAATACGTTATTGTTAGAATAGGCGCAAAGAATAATCACATTTTTTTAAATGTTTAAAATTGCAATACGCGCAATAATATAAAAAAGTGTACTGTCGGTGGAATTAACTTTAAGAAAAATCTATTTAATCCCTTAGTCAAATAATTGAAAAATATTATATACGTTTTTGCTTCAATTTAACAAGAAGTGGCTTAGATTAATGAATAGCATTAAAGGCGAGGAGTGGGGGATCGCTACGTCACAATTATGGAGAATATGTATAAAGGTAATTCGACATTTCAACTCAATGTATCGCCATAATTTATTGTTTACGCCAAAAGTCAAAAATACATTTTTAATATTCTTTAATAATCGTAGCAACAGACAGACAAACAAAAATTAGCTATCATCCCTATTGTTACTTCCCGCGCAGTAGCTTATTATAGAACAATGATACGTCTTATCAACGTTTCATAGGGGTGCTATTGAGGTATTATAAATTCTTCTTCTTGATATGTCACTCCTATTGGTGGTTGGACAGCATCATGGTTATCTTTATTTTTGTGGCTGCTGCTTGGTAGTTCCCCGCCCAAACCAATCCCTTAAATACCTAAGCCAGGAATGTCGCCTTCTTCCAGCATTGCGTTTCCCTATAATTTTACCCCGAATTACGAGATGAAGAACTCTGTATTTCTTATTCCTATTATAAACTATAAGTTCTAAACACAGATGTTGATTGAGTACAGCAAGGGCAACTACAAACACGCCGAGAACAGTTTTTTTTTAAATAAAGAAATATCGATACTTAATTACAATTTTTTTACGTTAAATTTCCTTTATTCAATTTCCATTAAGCTAATGGTATTATCCGACACTGTCTCCGAGAATTTTTCAAAGATTTTTGAAGTAATGAAGATCTTCGACTATAATAAGATACAAATGTCGATAGGTAAACGAGTAATGTCATATTGGTCTGCGCAGAGAGTAGTCGTGTAGTGTTATGCGGTGGAGAGGCCGCGGTGGAGATGACGCAAGACGCGCTTGCGGCGATGGACGGCACGTTACAGACGGAACGTAACCCCGCCACACTAGCTGACACTGCGCTGCAATACCTCGCCGCTAACACGCAGGTTACTAATGTACCACACAAATTGTCACTAATGTTACAGCAAATCCACGACACACTCTTATAATTGATGTTATAGTAAATCCACCTCATACTCTGTTACTGCGATATTACAGTAAAATTTACCACACACTCTCTGTAACTGATGTTACAGTGAAATCGATCACATACTCACTAATATAGCGTATAGTGAAACTTTATTATCTCATAGCAGTCCTAATAATTCCGACGATGACGATTACGATTAAAATTTTGTAATAAGTCTTGTTTTAATAACCATAAAGTTTAACTTTTACTGTTCGTTGAATTTTACGTGCACGTGCACGTGCGATACGATGCGTTTAAGCATTGTTTGATGTCTCCGTTTTTGACGGATAAATTTTCTAAAGCTCCATATACTTAATCGTCATAGCGTACTGTTATTGTTTGTGTATTTATTATATGTTTACTCAGATGAAAGGCAACGAAGAATCTATAGCTAAGTCGGCCATACTGGTGGCGCACAGTACCGCACAACTGTCCGCGCAACTTACCGACTTATCCAACACATCCACAGACGCAGAGCTCTCCGACAGTACGTATTGGCAATGATATCTTATATACCTTATTGTACGGTTCAATATCGCACAATTATATGTTTAAATCCAGCATTTTACTACACACACTAGACACACGCCTAAATATTAATGAAATACACTCACCAGAAGCGAAAGTAAGAAGTGTTTAAGGAAATCAAGTCGATCTCGATAAGGTCTCAGGTAGCAGAACGGTTTGTAGCATTCGTCCGAAGTGCCAAAATTATGGGTTCGAATCCTATCTTTGCTTCATATTTTTATTGGACTCGCTAGCAATAAATTTATTTGATTAACGTAGATTTAGAACTTAAATAATTAGAATATATTTAAATTAGAGAAAGCAATAGAAACTGCTATAGAATTTGACATCACAAGTATAATATAATTCTATCGTCATTTTATTAATAATTAATTGAAATATTTGAACTTGAGAGTGTTTTTGTAGTCATAAAAAAAAATATTTAAACAGTCTGTTTCATATCGTGTTTTTATTTAGCTTATACAATTTATGTATGTTAATAATTTTGATTATTCTGCTGAATTTGTATGTTTATCTCTTGTTCTATACACAGTGCCTTTAAGTCTTTCAATAAACAATTTATTTATATACTAGCTGCGCCTGCGACTTTCTCCGCGTGAAAAGTAGCCTAAATTACCTCTTATCATATAAGCTATCAGCCAGCGAAAGCCCCATCAAAATTATCCGGAATAAATAAACAGACCGACATACAAAAAAATTATTAAAAAGATATTTCTGTATATGCACCGTGTACAATACATATGTATTTTGTGTAAAAGCAGTTATTTTAAAATTACAAACAGACGCCCAAATTGTATTTGTTTGGATGTAAAGATGATCTATGCAACTGTAGATTACCAATATATATATATTGTCCTTGTTAGAATTGAACGGCGAATGTAGAACGATGTTGAATGCGACGATGGAATGTCTGGAGTGCATAAAGGGCGGTAACGTGTCCGCTCCGTTATGCGGCGCCGCGCGCGCGCGCGTGCTCGCCGGCGCGCAGTCCGCAGCGGCCGCCGCCGCGCGCTCGCACTCGCACCTGCGCGTCGACGACGAACTCGCCGGCATGGACAGGGCTATACAGGAGGCCGCCTCGCAGATTGAGGTCAGTAACTCGTATTGAGGCCGATTTAAACTCTGTTAAATTATTTTATGTCCGTTTTGATAAAACTTAGGAGTCGCTCAGATCTATCGCCTAAATATAAAGGTGAAAATGCATTTCACCAATGACTAGGAACCACCTAATGAACCCCACCTTTGTACCCCCCAAAAAAAACTTGCAAAGTTTATTGTCTAAGCTACTGATCGAATAACATATTAATTGTAGAATTTATATTGCTATATTCGTTGTTATTTCGTTGGTGGATTGGATGGTACATAGGCATAGTTTTTTATTATATAGGTGACATTTTTATTGTAACTTCTTAATACTTAGCAACCTTATGAATAGTAAGTAATGTTACTATGGATGGCTCTATTTGCAATTTCACTAATTGCAGTTTTGCTTAATCATTGTTTTTAACTAAAGAGATAAATAAAAAAAATGTTATCAATGATAACTTTGCAATGTGAACCTGCCTTAAATTAAAGTATTATAGATGCATTATTTCAGTTCAATTTTGAATACATACTTCAACGTCTTTAAAGCAAGAGTCTAGTATTTTATTTAATATTAGGTATAATATTGCTACATGATATATTTAGTGAACTTATTTAAAAGGTGGCGTACTGGATAAGCGCCGCGGCCCGCGATCGTTGTCGTTAAGCAACTTTCGCAAGGGTCGGTCACGGGATGGGTGACCAAAAACATATTATCTCGAGCTACTCCGTGCTTCGGAAGGCACGTTAAGCCGTTGGTCCCGGCTGCATTTGGAGTCGTTAATACCCTCCAATTCGCATAGGGCCAGCGTGGAGGATCATGGCCCATCTTCCTTAACCATCCATAAGGAAGGCCTGAGTCCCTGCAGTGGGGACGTAAAAGGGCTGATGGTGATGATTAAAAAGATGTATTTTAATTATTTAAATAACTATTCTTGAACAGTCTTTGCTAGCGGCGAGTCGCGCTGGCGATTCGGGCGTTAAGCTGGAAGTGAACGGCAAGATATTGGATGCGTGTACTACCTTAATGGCGGCAGTGAAGGTATTGGTGCACGAGTCGCGCGCGCTGCAGACGGAACTAGGGGACACTACCACGAGACAGCACATGTATAGGAAGAACCCGCAGTGGTCGCAGGGGCTTATATCCGCTTCTAAGGCTGTCGTGTTCGCTGCAAAACTGTTGGTGTGAGTAATCTGTTAAACGAATATAAGTATTATTTATTTTTTAAGTAGTTTAGTTGATTTAGGTGGTTCTGGTGTTGTTTTGTTAAAATTTTTAATCTTGAAAAGGGAGGACGAATATTTTTTTGTGTTTGATTATCTCCGTCAGGTAGATTATTGAAGAATATTAAATATGTATTTTTCATTTTTTTGCTTAATTAACAAGTTACGGCGATACATTGAGTTGTAATGTTGTATGACGTCACGCTTTTATACATTTTCTACAAAATTGTGACATAGCGAGCCCCAACTCCTCAACTTTAAATTATCATGCCATTTCTTACATATTTGATATATTTCTATTATCTGACTGACGGACTAAATAGAATTCTGTTTTTTTTTCCCAATCAATAATGAGGAATAGATGTTATTAGTAATATAGTTAAAAGAAGTTATTTATTTCTATAAAATCGTGTAATAACTTATTAATGTAAGAAATTTTAATAATTTCTCAAAGTATTTGCGAAACTCACATTAGCAATAGTTGTACGAATTATTTTA